TTTTTGTTGCCCTCCACTGGACTCTTTCCAAGTTTTCCACATCCTTCTTGTAGTGTGGGGCCCAAAACTGGACACAGTACTCCAGATGAGGCCTCAGCAATGTCAAATAGAGGGGAGTGATCATGTCCCTCGATCTGCTGGCAATGCCCCTACGTATACAGCCCAAAATGCCGTTTGCCTTCTTGGCAACAAGGGCACACTGTTGACTCGTATCCAGCTTCTCGTCCACTGTAACCCCTAGGTCCTTTTCTGCAGAACTGCTACCTAGCCATTCGATCCCTAGTCTGTAACAGTGCATGGGATTCTTCCGTCCTAAGTGCAGAACTCTGCACTTGTCCTTGTTGAACCTCATCAGATTTCTTTTGGCCCAATCCTCTAATTTGTCTAGGTCCCTCTGTATCCTATCCCTACCCTCCAGCGTATCTACCACTCCTCCCAGTTTAGTATCATCTGCAAACTTGCTGAGAGTGCAGTCCACGCCATCCTCCAGATCATTAATGAAGATACTGAACAAAACTGGCCCCAGGACCGACCCTTGGGGCACTCCGCTTGAAACCGGCTGCCAACTAGACATGGAGCCATTGATCACTACCCGTTGAGCCCGACGATCTAGCCAGCTTTCTATCCACCTTATAGACCATTCATCCAGCCCATACTTCTTTAACTTGCCGGCAAGAATACTGTGGGAGACCATATCAAAAGCTTTGCTAAAATCAAGGAATAACACATTCACATGGAGATCACATGATTAAGGCCCTGTTTAAACTACAAATATAACTGTGCCAGAGAACCTTCTTACAACATAGATATTCCCTGACCTGGTTACAAACATGGTATGAACATGGTTTTATAACCAGACTTAGCCTTGGTCATACCTGCTCCTACTTGGTCATACATGGCTGCTTTACTTGTAGTGGAGACAATGTTAATGAACTACTGACCTGGAAGCTGTAGTGATAAAACCCAGATGTTAGACTGAGTGTTTGATTTGTGAGGGTTTTTTTTTTTTTACAGTTTTGACTGTTCTAGCAAAATCTGTCTGAAATTATCTGAATCTCTAACTGAGCAAACCACTTGAATTAGACTTAAACTCTGCCCAGCTCACTGTGTACGTTTTTCACTTCTGAAAACAAGTGATTTTGCAAGGTAGTAAAAGAAGCTGCTGCTGTTAGCTAAAGTAGTATTAAGTCCAACTCCAAGAAATAAAGCTGTTTCTTTTTGCTGCTGCTGCTTTCCTATGTATCCTAAAACATCCTGTATTGCATCAAATATTACCAGCTCACTGGATAACTTTAAAAGTGCATGAGGTGATGACCATCAGACAAGTGCCCCCAGTTCTAAGTGTGATTTCCCCAACACAATTGATTTTAGGGCTGTGCTGGGAGCCTCCCTGTACACTTCATAAAGAGACAAGGTGGACGAGGTAATATTTTCTATTGGACCAATTTTTGTTGGTGAGAGAGACAAGCTTTTAAGCCACACAGAGCTCTTCTTCAGCTCTGGGAACAGTATTCCCAGCATCACAGCTAAATGCAGGGTGGATCAGATTGTTTAGTATAAGTAGTGAATACATATTCTAAAACAGTGGTGCCCAACCTTATTACACAGAGGGGCCACATAAACCTAAGCACAGATTTAAAGTCACTTTGTATTGATTGAGATTTTAAGTTCAGCTTGTTTTGTATGTATTTAGATAGGTTGTTTCTGTGTACCGTATTGTCTATTTACACACTTGTGTAAACTAAAATGATATAAATATGATGACAAAATGCTAATGAATAAGCCATTCGAATATTGTGTTGAAGCAGGCTGTGGGCCGTATGAAATGCTCTGATGGGCCACGTACAGCCTGTAGACCGTAGGTTGGGCACCCCTGTTCTATGGGACCATTCCATCTTGCATTTAGCTGTGATGCTGGGAGTACCTTTCCCAGCCCTGAAAAAGAGTGCTGTGTGGCTTGAAAGCTTGTGTCTCACCAAGAGAAGTTGGTCCAATAAAAGATATTGCCTCTCCCACCTTGTCTCTCTAATATCCTGGGATCGACATGGCTACAACTACACAGCATGTCTGTTTCATAACAGTATTGTGCCAGTTACAGCTATCATTATGGATTTGTCAGCTTTTTGCTGGCAGCCCCCATGCTGCAATACTCATGGTCTTCTCTTGGGAGCCCCCCACCAATGAGTATGAGCCATAGTGTGTATCTGAGAGAGAGGCAAAAGAGTGAATGAGTCTCCTGGCCCTGTCTACGGTCCCTATCTTTGATATACACATTCTGGTGCACAGGCTGGGAAGCATCTAGGCAACGCTCCCAATGTGCTGGGAACAGAGGGTATAAAGGGAACTGGCCGCAGCAGCCCTTCTGAGTGCCAAAGGAGTGGCAGGATCCGAACACAGTTCATGGCTCTTAACGCTGCCCTATTGGCTCTCCCCCGTTTCTCTGTTCGTTAGGGTGTTTGCTGTCTGTCCCACTTCTCTGAAGTCTCTTCTGATGAATTCCAGGAGTAGTGGAAGAGGTAATTAGGGTAGCTCCCCTTTTTACTCTCTCAGATCCCAGCGTGTGGGAAAACGGTGCATGTGCACATGGGCCTAATAGGAACTGCTGACTGTAACCCAAGCACATGTCTCCCAAGACTGGGGCTCCATAAGGGTAGTCATTTTGGAGAACCCTGTTACTATGGTAAGGCTCCATGGCAACAATCACTGAGAATTTCCATTTTTGTGGCTGTGTGTCTGATGTTTAATACGATTTCAGTGTCTTGTATTTCTTATTTCTGTGTGTGCATTTGAATAATATACATGTACTTTGCGTTGTATTTCAGATTGTGACCTGTCCTAGTACCTCTTTCACTGACTTGGCAGAAATCGTGTCCAGAATTGAGCCAGTCAAAGCAGCTCTGGTAGATGGTGAGTTGGCTTATCGAGACAGTTACATGAGAGACGATACACTTTTCTGGGTGAAGATTATTGCTACAATATACAATGTACATAGTGCCACCCACATGCTTGTCTCTCCTCAATAGCAATCCAAGGAATACTCTCAAATCATCCCTGTGTTCTTGTTTGCTCTCACTTGAGCTCTGTTCATTAAGTAGGAAATTATTCCTCACTATTATTAACCTCAACTTGGGCATCCCATCCTGGAGGAACTTAGACTTTAGTGATGAGGAAAATTTTTCAGATGCTTCTTGGATTCATCTTAATCCACCTTCTTCTGCTCCACCATGCCTTGAGTCTACCCATTCCCCATAGGCAAGGCTTCTGAAATTAATCCTACTGTATTTATACTCTTTCAGTTGCATTTCTTGTGAGCCTTTCAGGGATGTGAAGTGACACGGCCTGTACATGAAGTAGGTCTGCTCGGTGCCTTATTTTCTCCCTTTCCCCTCAGTGTTAATGTTTTGACAATGTCCCAGTGCAGCCTCAGCCAGGCAGAAGCCAGCTCTCCCTCAAACCCTCCTCCCCGCATTGTGGGGAAAGTGCTGAGTTGTAGATTGGGGCTTTGCTGATGTGGCCACCCTAGTTGTCGTGTCTTCACATTTTGGCTTGGTCATCTATAGCCTTGAAATGGGGAAGGAGGGTAGTTTGGAGGCCCAGTGCAGGGAACTTTTCCTGCTCTTATTAAAGCAGTGCTGAGTGAATCACTGGCTTACATTTTATTTCCCCCCCCCCTCCATTATTGGGAACATCAGCACATTAGAGGCTTTTTCAAGCATTTCTTATTTCCCATTCCCTCTCTCACTTAACCCGGCTCTCATGGGCAATGCTGCATGCATGCTGCCGAGGAACAAGTAATGGCTGCTTTGCTTCTGCACACAGTTGCTACACTCCCAGGATCTAATGCAGTGGTTCTCAACCTGTCTGTCATTGTGGGCCACACGTTGAGAAATTAACAGCCCCTCCATCTAAGACTCTGTTGAGATGTCCCTGCAGCTCTTTGACGTGCTAATTCCCATCCCTGTGCCTAATGAAGAAAATATTAATCAAATATATTTAAACAATCATTAAGAATAGGAACAAAAGGTTCTGCATAACACGGTTACTAGTGGCATGACTATTTAGACCAGTTGTGATTTAAATGCTTTATTGCAGCAATCTGATCCGCAATACACCTCTTGCTCGCCTGCCGGGTAAGATTTGCCTTTAGATGAGAGAGCCAGTTAAATAGAGCGTTAGTATTAAGGTACCTTAAAAGTAGGTTTGACAAATTTTGACCCAAGCGAGCTGTTCTGCCGTCAGTGCCATGCTCAGTTGCCATTGAGGTAGTTACTCATGTGGTGCAGGGAGAACAGAGCCCTGAGAAGGAAAATCTAGCTGCCAGGCTGCTGTGCTCAGGGATTCACACATGCTCACTTTTTAAAGTGAAGTTAATGAGTCTGACTTCAATCTTAATTTTACTCACTTATGTGCTCTTAAGGCTTCTGTTTCATCTAGAACTAGCTCAGCAGTGCTCGGATGTTAAAAGGGCCAAAGGTCAATGCAAGAGACATTGGGAGACCCAGTGTGCTTTAATCCAAGGTGTAATAGGGCAAGTGAAAAATAGCACAGCTCAGTTCTGACTTCATTTGCCTTTGATGTCTTATTGCACCTTTAACACAATTTTTTATGTTTATTTTCTTTGTCTTTTCTTTGTAATAGCACTGGACATATATAAAAGAACCACTCTTCTCCACTGTAGATCACTGGTACAGAAGACCGCTTAAAAGAGCGTTGCTGTCCGTTATGTCAATATATACTCTCGGGGACACACAATATTATTGTAGCTGCATCATTGTCTCTAGTAGCATTTAAGCAATAAAATGGTGTGTAATCTTTTTATTGCACTAAAGACATTCTAAAAACCCTTAGAAAAGTAATTACTGTGCATATGCAGCAGCCTCAGGATCTGGCTATTTTAAAAAATAATTCAATATAAATATCTAAAAAGTACCAATCCACATAAGATTGTGGCAGACTGCCTGATTCCATGATGTACATCAAAGCTTGGAGAGTTATTGGCACACAAACAATCTAATCCACAGAACCTGATACCTTCACATCAGCTGTATCACCTGCAAAAATGGAGTTATAAAAGAGAAACAAAAACCACACCGAATTAGCAAGAATGGGCCTGTGCCTCCCAGAGCAACAATGTGATCTTTTCACCATCGTCCTTGTCTTTCCCCGCCTCTCCTGCTTCTGTTTCTCTATTATACTCACCTGTTGCCATGTGTAATATTTGGATTGTTCGCTCTTTGAGGCAGGGACCACACCTTCCTGTTTGTTTTCAAGAGCACTGTTGTTGAGTGCTGTAGAACTACCGAATAATGAAAACCTTGGGGAATTACCACACTGGAATAGCCTACTGCATGTGAACGCATTCCAGTCTGCAGCAGTGGCTATTGCCATTTGTTTTATTTTTCGTCTTTCTGAACCAAGATGATCAGAAGTGGGTAACACACCTCCCACAGTGGGCTCTGTTCCTGCTTATAGCCTCTGAGGGTAGGTCTATACTTACCTCCGGGTCCGGCGGTAAGCAATCGATCTTCTGGGATCGATCCCGGAAGTGCTCGCCGTCGACGCCGGTACTCCTGCTCCGCGAGAGGAGTACGCGGAGTCGACGGGGGAGCCTGCCTGCCGCGTCTGGACCCGCGGTAAGTTCGAACTAAGATACTTCGACTTCAGTTACGTTATTCACGTAGCTGAAGTTGCGTATCTTAGTTCGAAGTGGGGGGTTAGTGTGGACCAGCCCTGAGAGTTCTTGAAATACAAATATGCAATAACATTAGTGACCACACTGCTATTGGAAACATTTGTTTAGAGAGCCATCTCAGGCTGTTTGTTCACTTTTAGCTCAAAGTAAGTTTTAACAATAAAGTTGTAAACCTCTGAAAATACTGTCATCTGTGGTAAACTACAGATGCAATGAGTTTAATTCCAGCATTTCCTCACCAAGTTTATATCAAGGGCCTCCTTTTTAATCATAGCCATTATATTTAATTAAAGCTACAAATTACTCTCTGAACAACTACAGGAAAAAGTAATGGCCAAGTGTTTTTAATCCGTTTTCTGCCAGCTTATTATAGCCATTGTGTTAGAATAAAATGCTAAGGAACAGAATGTACTGTCATCTGCAGAATGCAGCAGATGCTATCGACTGTTCCAACGCGAGCAATACTTAAGTAATCAGCTAATTCATTTTAAGTACAAGACCTGTTCCTCAGAACCAAGCTGAAAAAGACTTTTCTTCTTCTTTATCCTGTGAATTCTGTATGGCCTTTGATACACAGTCCAGTGGTGTCTGTGTTTGCCAGGACTGTTGGGTTCACAGGCGGGATTACTCTTACACTGCTGCATAGCAATGAGTATGCCATCCTCAGAGGCTTTAGCATTTCTATTTGGGCAAAATTGGCCTTTGCTTATAAATAGACACCAGGCTAAACCTTTGAGTTACGTGGTCCCTCGCAGCCGCTGAGTATAAGCTGTTGCTCATCTGCTCTTTAGAAAGATTTCAAGTAAATCATTAATTGTGTACATTTCACCTAAACCTACACCTGCTGTGAGAGGGTTCAGTTTGACATTACTGATACTGGAGTTAGATCCCCATTGAAATCAGTAAGGCTCCGCATGGGCTCAGGGTTCAGTTTGCACAATGCTTATTACAAGGCTGAGGCCCTAGAGCCTAACAAAGTCTCAATTACGATGGCGGTGCTCTAGCACCATCACAGGAGGGAGTGGGAATTAGGGCAGAAATGCAAACCTCATGGAAACGTAATAAACAGACAAGCCAAATGTCACGGATGTTTTAAACCCAAGATAATCTGAGGTTACCTAGGTGGCTAATAGGGAGCAGGATTCCACACACAGGCCAGCGCTGGGGACGCTGAGATGTCTGTCCTGACAGCCCCCCATGGGAATGGGGGCCAATTGATTTAACATGTGGAGAGTTAGGTCAGGGTTGTAGGGGTCAGCTAGGAGAATCCAGCAACTCCCATGTTTGAAGGTATTCGACCATCTCACAGCATATGCCCCATACTTGGTATCTACACAGATAACTTTGTAGCTGTTAAGCGTCTCAGTGAAGCTGGTTTAATTGCTACTGGCACATCTGCTCCATCTCCCTGCCCACTCTCTGCAAACCCACCAACAGTTCAGACATCACAAAAGGATGGTTATTTTCCCAATCCCCCAAAAGCAGGAGTGGTGATTTAGTGACACAAATAGAAACCCAGGTCTCTGCTTGCACTGTATATGTAGCCATGATGGATCTGTCTGATTACCATGTACGGCCCCCATCAGTGAGCTATCTGTGCACTTTACAAACAGGAATTGGTTTATTTTCCGAACCATCCTGTGAAGTGGAGCAGGATTTTACAGATGGGGAATTGAGCCACAGAGAGACCCAGTGACTTGTCCAAGGTCACAAGGGGAGGCAGGGGGAAAAGCTGGAAATGGAATCCAGCTCTCCTGAGTCCCAGCTGGCCTCGTGAGTAGAGCACTGTGCTTCCTCTTAGCTGTGATGTGTTCAGGCAAGAAGCAGTAAACAGAAGGCTGGGGTGCCGGTGGACAAGAGCGGAGTAACACATTGGCATCATTACTTTGCTGAGACGTGCGATGGCTCAATTAAAAGTGCTTGCTTGTTGTGTTTAGTTGTGATTATTGGCAGACTCCTTGCAAGCACTGCAGAAGGAACCAGTCTAAAACAGGGCTTTTTGATCAACTCTATGCAAGGTGGATCAATGCCCAACATGACCAGCATGAGCAGTTGAGATTTGTTTAATTTTGCTGCATATGCATCTTGTTTGATTTTTGAGGGAAAAGGTTGGGCATGAGAGCAGGAATAGCTCAAACCCATGTGACAATGATGCCATTGCTTTGCTGGTTTATTACCCCTGCCGGTTGTTAGTCAGAGCATTTCAGTTGGCGTG